GAGAATGAAGCTAGGAGGAGGTTCAATCATGCCAGAAGGAACGACAATTCACTATTGTACAAATGAAATAGAGTTGCATTTTTTGCAAACGGCTTTACACTTTCATGAAATTGCAGGTTTCTCTGCCAACAAAATCAGGAATCAAACCCAGACAGATAAACAAGTGGACAAAATGGAGACGATGGGAGAAATTGGAATGCTGGACACCAGGTCATAAACCTCATTAGCAATTTCTGGCAAGGTTTAAATGCTAATTAATAGTTCAAGTAAAACAGCATAGCTTTTGCTTAGCAACTCGTTTAAAGCAGAACCATATGATCAGAACAATTTTAACTTTTTCCAGATTTCTTGGTTCGTGAAGGAACCCAAGTTCCTGCAGCAAATTTTTAGAAATAAGATAAAGCACATTCATCTCCATCAAGTCTGCAGTCATCATAGCGTGTGTATCACCTCACACTATCTCTTCAGTAAGTTCTTCATAGGGACACCTTTAAGTCCCACCCTCATTTTCAGAATATTTAGTAATCCTTACTCTCGAACATTACAAACATTTGCCTCTCTTCACTCAGCACAGATACTACCATCCATTCAGACCTTCCCATGTTAATCTATCCTGCTGCTCCTTCTGTTATCAGTAATACTTGCAGATAGTTAGAACAAGGATAATCAAGGTCACAACATCTTTTTTGAAAGCAGATCTACACTGTTGAAATTCACTCAAATTTCATTCCATAGCTCACACAGAAAATACACTGATTCTCAGAATGTTAACATCTGAAGTTGCATTTAAGGTGCTAGAGGCACATTTGGTAATGGGTAAAATCTCAAAAATACTCAACAGTCCTGCAGGGTAAATAATCCCAGTGTTAGCTTCACTCACTTGGTAGCAGCCTCGCTTCTGGCTCAGAAGATTATGAGTTCAAGCCCCATTTTGGGACATTGAGCTCACAGGCCAAGCTGACAATCCAGTTCATTATTGGAAATAATTACATTGTGTTTCTGCCCACAAAATATACAGTCAATTCACTTTACAGTATATTCTGTGAAGTGCTTTGAGACGTCTCAAAGATGTGATAAGGTGCTATATCAAATGCAAGGATTATTATTGTCGGAGGTGTCATCATTCAGATAAAACCCTGTCTGCCTGCTCAGAAGGAAATTAAAGATTCCACGATATTATTTGAAAAGAGAAAGTAGTTTGTCCCCATGCTACAACAAACTGGCTGCCGTTTTTACCTATAAATAGAGTCAGTATACTTGAAAGCAATTCCTTATAAAGTGGCTTTGAGATATTTCATTCAACACTAATAGGCGTAATATCAAAAAAAAATTAAAATAAGTCAAAATGTACAAAATTAAATGGGCTCAATGACCCCAGGACCATGGGATTTATATGGGCAGATCTACATTGTTAATATTCACCCTAATTTCATTCTATATCTCATACAAAAATACACCAACTCTAGAACGTTAACATTTGTTTCACCCACAAAATGCAGTCATCACTTTACAGCATATTCTGTGAAATGCTTTGAGACGTGATAAGGCGCTATATCAAATGCAAGGATTGTTATTATTATCTGAAGTCACAATTAAGGTGCTGGAAGCACATGCGACAATGGGTAAAAATGTTACCAGGAATTAAAATCCTGAGTACAGAACTTTTTTTTCATAGAAATCCCAACTATAGAACCCAGGGATGGTGTCATTGTATTTAGTTCCTTTCAAGTCTATCTGAAATTTATATTAAAAAAGACACAAATCAATATGGTGAGCAATTCAACAGGCATCACATATTGGGTCTGCTTTAAAATATTTTTAATATAAAATGATACCAACTAGCATTTTTGCAGACAGTCAATCAGAGGTTAAAATCTGGCCTGCTGGAAGAATGGCTGGCTTTTTCCGAGATCAAAAGAATCATAAGCATTACATTTTAATTAACAATGCTGTGTGCAACCCCTCCTTGTCAAGCAAAGTAGCCCAGTGGAGTGTCTTGCGGTCTAGAGTCCAATGTTCGCAGATTATTATATTTGATCATGCTTCTGTTCAATGCAGTATGTACTTAACATTTAACCATCATTATCACCTAATCAGATGAATTGGAGATAGCATCTGACAAGCTAATTTTAAAGACAAGGCCTGAAGATCAAAGGCTTTTACAGTTTAAAAGCAGAGCATCTATAGTGATTCTTTAGTTCTGTAGAACGTATTTAGCATTTAGATTACAAGGGATTCAGGAACAAATATTCTGTTTCCATATTGAACGTTACATGACACATTTTTCTTATGTGAAGGAAATGGCTGAAAAGTCCTCAAAGTTAACAAGCGGCAACTTACTGTGCTCTCTACAATTCACATCCAGAGCTTTATTTCCATGTCAGAGAGCATGGGTTATCACCTACGGTCTGTAAAACAATTTTTTTACCTTGCTTTTCCCCGCAAATAACAGTGAAGGAGGCCAAGAGGTGACAAGCATTAGCTCTGATAGAGGCTGCCGTGTGCAAGAATATCTTGTCGCCAGCACGGTAACTAAGAGATGACATCGGTTCAGCTCACTCAGATTCAGGGCGTTTTCACCATCAAGTTGATCTCCTGTCTCTGATAGCAATAGGAGATATGCCTCTGAGGCATGTCTTGTGAGATTCAGGACAAAGACGTATTTTGTAATAATAAATTAATAATAAACCTTACATTTGGCACAGCTCCTGTAATGCTGAAAGGTCTCAAAGCGCTTCACAGGGAATTGCTGTGAAGTGTAGTGAATGCATACTTGTAGGCGAACACAGTGAATTGCTCTCAGCAATTTGTTAATCTGGCGAATTCCCTTAATTAGTTTTCATCTGCAAATCTGCGCTTTACTGTCAATATTTTCCACTTTATAGATTGGTGACACAACAGGAGTCAACGCTTAAGGTGTTACCCTGATTCAGTTGGTAACACTTTTGCTTCTGAGTGCTTCTTATATTGTGTTGTAGGAAGTGCCACCCTTCGCATGAGCTGTTACAGCGAGGTCCCGTCTGTTTGTTCAGATGGTCGTTGAACATCTCAGGGCATGATTCAAAAAGAGAAGGGAGTTTCTCTTGGTGTCCTGGGCAATATTCCCCAGATAAAAGTTGGTCATTCACTTCATGGCTGTTTCCATGGATATTAATGTCCATAAATTGGCTCCTGCATCATCCTACAAATAGTCAAAACTTTACAGAACAATTCTGTAAAGCACTTTGAGATGATTCAACACGATCGAGTGTTATATAAAATTTAAGAATTACAATACAGCTATTCATAAGACCCTACTGTAATATTCGCATAACAAAAAAAATTATTTTTTGGTCAGTTTGGTGTCTAACACCTATGGAAACCCATTACAATGTTTAAGAGTATCCAAACCACTTAATATACTATTACATTTATTCATTCTATTTATGCAAGGAATTTTCACTTAGTCTGGAATGGAATCACATGCTTTCCTTTGTCCTTCGGATGAGACGTTAGACCAGGTCTTGTCTGTCTATTCATGTAGATGTTAAACCACCATCCCGCCCCCCCACATCCTGGCACAATTTGAAAAGGAGAAGAAAGTTTCTCCTGAAGTCCTGGCCAACAATCCAAATCAAATACAATTATCATTCATTTCATGGCTGTATGTGGGATATTTCTGCGTGCAGATTAGCTGCCACATTCACCCACAAAACACAGACACAAACCTTTACAGTATATACTGTGAAGCGCTTCGAGGTGCCTTCCTGATGTTAGAGGAGTTATATCAAATGCAATGGTTATTTATTTATCTTTAAAATAATACATTATATTTAGCATTTGAACGCAAGAAACTGAATTGAATATTTTAAAGGATACTTCGACAATTCTAGATAATGTGAGCCATGCTGAAGGATGCATCCTGTTTATCTAATTCTGGAGAGTATTAGGTTGGTAAGAGTCAAAGCTTGGGGACATCGCAGTGTGCATTGGGGTTTAATCAGTTAAGAACACATAGCTTGCCATTAAGAGCACTATCTGGCAAGCTCTCACGCTGCATGTACAGCTAGAAGCACCCAACCCGTTAAGGTTTTGTCTTGCAGGGTTAACAGGAGCCAAAAGGTCAGTGTAGGCTGATTACATGCTCCCCCCTCCCCCCACCCCTCCCCCATTGCAACCACTCTCCCTTTTTAACCACAAATCAATCTCTCAGTTTTTTTCCAGGACTTTGCAAATAGGTTGAAGGAAATCCCTCCATGGTATGCCTAGGGGTTGAGATGTAACAAAAGAAGCAGTTTGCATATTGCATGGCCAGAATCCCCAATCAGAAACCACAATCTAGCAGATTGAAACCAAAGCAAACGATTCCAAATTTTTACAATGATTCCCATAACATCACTGGATTCCCATAACATAATCGGAATTAACCTTAAGGAAGCCCAATTTTTCCAACACAAATATTTTGACACTGGTTACACTTTAAAGTACTATATTGTAGTGTTAACTATAATAGTTTACTCATACAGCAACTCAATGCCCTGTAAACATTGACAGTGCTGTATTTTACTATAAATACTGAAGATTAATTGATTTAGACGTTGGTATATTATCAACTAGACTGCAGTGTATTGCATGCTTATAAAATACAGCATGCATCTTGCACCCTGAACACGACACCTTTCTGTACAGCCATCTCATATAGACCACCCAGAGAGCATTCAACAGTTTTGCTGAAAATCCAACGCAGTCATGTGTCCAATAATTACAAGCAGCACGGGCCTGATGTAAACCTTTTGATTGGATCACAGCCTGTCCTTTCTTATAGCTCAGCGTGTGTTTCGCGCTCACGCAGGGCTAATTGACATTTTGTGGATTGTATTTAAATCAATTCAATCCACAGCGTAAACTGAATACAATAGTAGGACACTGTATCTTAATAGTAAGAATAGTATCCTTAAACTATGTGAGCCTAGTAATTCTTTGTTCAGGTTTTCAAGTCACACAATCAATTTATCTATTACCTTGAGCTGCTCATCCACGACTCGAGTGACCTCTCCAGCCATGGATTCCAGTTTTTCCTGAATGGGGTTGGATGATGAGATACTGATTCCAGCCCAAGAAGCTCCTCCCAGGTGATAAAGATTTGGCAGCAACTGCAGACAACACACCATTTCATTCATATTAGGAGTCATTCAAAATGATTGATTCACCAGTTCCTTTTCATGGCAAACAAGAAACAGTCAGAGATAGATTTACACAGTTTAAATGTACACAATAGTTAACATATTTAACAATACCAATATTGTTTCCAATCATAATTTGATCTTTCGCAGTGACATCAAAAATATTTTACATCATCCAGCTCCCCCTGATGCATTGTAACATGGACCATTGTAAAGATCTTAAAGTGAATGATTATTTTGAATATCCAAAAATTATTACTACTCTGCAAGTGTTTTTCTGGCCAATTGGGTGGCTGCACATCAGGTGTTTTTACACTGATTGGCTTTAACAATATCATAGGTAAGAAATCCCCCAAATATATTTTAAAAAGTGAAATTGAATACCTTAGTAAGATCATTTTTGGACTTGATTTATATACAGTATATTCCTATCTGTTTGGAATAGTTTCTACTTCACTGAATTTGAAATGGTTATTTACTGCTCTGTTAAGGCTAACTTACAGATGCTTCTGGAGGGCTTTTAGATTTAGGAAATCTAAATTAGGCATCAGGCTGGCTCAGTTGGTAGTACTCTCGCCTGAGTTAGAGGGTTATGGGTTCAAGCCGCATGAAGGGATGTTATGCTCGATAGTCTAAACTGGCTAATATTTCCTCAGATATAACAGTGACTTGCAAATATACAACACCCTTCACGTAGAATAACATCTCAGAGCGCTTAAAGATGAAATTTAAAAAAAACTGGCTATTCATTTCCTGGAAGTTTTGGGGCCATTGCTGGTTTCAATTACCTGCCAGGTTTCGTGAACAAATACAGAAGGTATCCATGTATTTATCAGATGCATTTGTACATATCACCTTCATCCTCCAGGCCTTTAGAAGTTGCTTTTAACCCTTAAAGGCCATAGAGAATGCAGGATCCAATTGAACACCTGTGATCAATCAATCCTAATGAGATTTTGCGCAAATTGATTTTTTTTCAAATGTTTTTACTGGAAACTATAAAAAGTATAAAAAGAGACATTCAAATATACACTCACTTGACAAGAACAGGCATGATTAATGCATAACCTTTAGTGCATCTCCCTCAGACTTCTAAACCAAGGCCAGGGGCAAATGATACCAAAAATAGTTTTAAAAAATTCTTATAGAAAGTGGACATGCAGCATGGGGATTATATCAAATACACCTGCAAATGGACAAAAGACAGACATTTCCCCTAAGAATGTTACAGCACAGTGCAAACTTCCAGTGCAAAATAACCTCTTATATTATTTAGTTCTTAAGTGAATGCAGCTCTCACCGTCTTTGAGTTTTTGGCATCTCTCATAAAATTTTCAGCTAACCGCACATCGTCCTGCACAGTATCCACTTCAGAATTTCTCAATGAGTTCAGGTGATCCTGAACTTTCACACACATCCTGTCAATCATCTGTGAGGGGATATTAATGAGGGAACACAAAGTATGAACAAAATATTTTATCTAATTGGATGTGTCAAACGCTGTGAATGCATTTTTTAAAAAAGACGTCAGCAATTAGAACTTTCACATTTAACATTTAGAAAGTTAATTAATTTGAACATTAACGAAGCAATAATAAATGTAAGCAAAGGATATTCTGGAAAGTATAGGGATAAAATGTATGGTAGTTTCGAAGAGTTCCTTATGTTAAAGGTGAAATGTTCGATAACTGCCAGCAGGTGGAGCACCTCTCTCCAGGTAACTGGAATTAAACTCTTCCAGTTCACTTGACCTAATTTATTTTTAATGCAACAATTCTCTTAAATGCAATTGTTTAAATCCCTGGGCAATAAGTCAAGCTGTGGCTAGCAGTAAAAATGAACTAAGGTGAGATTTATCTACAAGGATCATTAAAGTTAATTAGTTTTGATCCAGAAAATAAAAACCCAGGTATCTTTAATTTTTTCAGCACCTCAAAAATGACAGAACATGTGGCGGGCAAAGAAAAACTGACAACGCACCACCCCCCTGATAAATTCAACAAAAATCAAGATTTATTTTGGACTAAAAAAAGCTAATTCAAGCTAGACTCTTAACATTAACTTTTTAGTAGTGGCTTCACAGAGTGAGGCAAACAGAATTGGCAAATTTGGATTTTATAAATTAAATTTGAGCGAAAAATATATATTTTTTACACTGCTTGGCTTTCATGCACCAACCCCTTCCCCCTACCTGGACACTTATCAGTGAAAAAGACAATTTTAAAGATCCTGATTGCTAAAGGGTGGGAAAAAGTACACACCAATAAGAAGTGTTTTTTCCCTTTGACGACATTCATTTGGAGAGATTAAGATTGAGCACTGTTTAACAAACTAGTAAATAAAGAGTTTATCATCATTACACGTTTAAACAATTATTGAAAATGGATTTCTCAAACAAATACATGATCAGTTTTTGGCATCTAAATTGTGTTATGAAACTAGAAAACATCTATACTGAACTCGTATTCAATGAAGAACTGTTGTGTAACATTTAGTAGATTAGTGTTTCAGGAGGGCAAATTACAATAAAAAGAGCAGCAAAGCTGTGCTGCGGAAAACAGACATGTTTTTGGGGATTCTGATAAACTATAATATATAGTTAGGTGTCAGCCTCTGACTTTAAACTCATTTAGTCTAACCCAGCACTCCAATGTAATGGTACATTGTTGGAGTTGTGTCCTTCAGATGAGATGTTACACCAGGTCTTGTCCGTCTATTCATGTAGATGTTAACCCCCTCCCCACCACCGCCCCCGCGTAATTTGAAAATGAGAGGATAGTTTCTCCTGGAGTCCTGGACAACAATCCGAATCAAATGCAATTGATCATTCATTTCAAGGCTGTATGTGGGACATTGCTGTGTGCAAATTGGCTGCCACATTCACCCACAAAACACAGTCACAAAACTTTACAGTATATATATACATACACACACACATACTGTGAAGCGCTTTAAGATGTCCTCCTGATGTCAGAGGAGTTATATCAAATGCAATAGTTATTTATTTATATATATATAAAACATACATTATATTTAGCATTTGAAAGCAAGAAACAAAATTGAGTATTTTAAAGGGTAAAGTTATTTTGACAATTCTAGATAATGTGAGTGATGATGATTCTGATGGTTTGATTATTGACAAAGTAGTTTTAGTGTGTTCGCAATCCTTTCCCACATTTAGCTGTTTGTTCCTTATTGCTCACCTGCTGTGTGGTGCTGGTCACAATGCCCTGTTGTAATCTGTAAGCCTGTTCTTGCAAGTACTTCCTGGTCTCGTGGTTTCGCAATAGGTAGTTTTCAATCTGAAATTAAACAGGAACGATAAAGACAAAGCCTTCAACAAAGGCGTCAGTCACCACACTTCCGCATCCAAAAGGGTGTAGAACAAAATAATTGGTGACTGTTCTGGAAAAAGGGTATTTTCCTTTGTGTAATCATCAGTGCAACAGGTATTACCAGTAACTCACTGCTGAAGTGCCGATCTATCTGGGCACCTCTTGCGTAAAATCAGTTACAAAAACTGGAAGTCATGAGATAGCTAGTCATGCAAAGGTGCAACTCTATATTCTTAGCTTCTGAAGAAAGGGAACAAAAAACAGCAAGTTCCCCTCTGCCACCATCCCAGGGATTGATCTTAACCTTGCACACAGAAACATAGAGATACCATCTTTGCAGCCCACATCCAATTCACTTGCAGCATAGACTCAGAATACTGATCTTATTTTCTGATTAGTAATACTTTATTGCCTAATGATGATGACTGTTATTAATATTTTATTATTCACCACAATTTTCAATTACTCTGGGCCTTAAATAAAATAGAGACTTTGGAAGCTGTGACTTATAAATATGCTATCCTTAAACTGCATGCAACAAGCAAACTATTCAAAACAAGTGACATTGAGCACAAATATGATCAAAGGGGAGAGGAGGTCAACATACCTTTTGCAATGCTTCCTCAGTTTTTTCTGGATTAGCCTTCAGAGCTTGGGAGGCATCATTGACAGGGATGGGCATAAACCTTAAAGTAAAGTTCCTGTGAACAAGAACCAGGAAGAGTTAATTTCTCCAATACACTTGTTTAAAGATGCGCTAAACCCTTGATACTCTAGTTAGGAATGCCTAGAAGAAAGACACCTTCAATACAAACAAAAAATAATAGGCAAGGCACTGCTTGGAGGAGAGCTTGTACACAACACATGAAATAATGGGAAATTCTCCCTTTGGATAGATGGTCACTTGGACATTTAGAGGAACTGAATGTGAAAGGAGCCTGGATTATCTCAAGTAAGTCTCAGTTACAAACATTGTTCAGAATAATAATATAAATAACAATATAATAATAATCCTTGCATTTGATATAGCGCTTTTCACGTCTTCTCAACATCTCAAAGCGCTTCACAGAATATGCTGTAAAGTGAATTGACTGTATATTTGTGGGCGAACGCAGCAGTGTCCCACAAACAATCGTGGATTGAAAATGACTAATTTATTATTGTTTTGTTTTTTGGAGGGATTATTATTAGGTGTGTGGAGTAAGGAAACTTGCCCAAGGTTTCACCTTGCCTGGATTGAACCCAGGTGTCTCGCTTGCAAGGCGAGTGCTCTAACCACTGAGCTACGGGACTCCACAATAATCCATTGCAAGGTGGACAAGTTCACTTTGTGCAGTCGAAGATGGTTAGATTTGGAATGAAACTATCAGGCAGCAGGTACATAGGAGATGTCTTAAGATTACAGTAAAACTCGCATAAATCGTAGAGTCACTTGACTCAAATCCGTTGAAGAGTTTATATTCTGTGCAAGTTTGATATAAGTCATACTTCGCATAAGTTACATTAAATGTATGGTCCCAACTGATACGACTCATGTGAGGTTTACTTTCCTGGACAAGTTATATGGGAGAGAGGTCTAATAAAAGACCACCAACAATCATACTGGCGTAGTCTCCCACTTGAACTTTGTATGCTATTCAAGCCGTGCCACACTTGACCTGGAAATGAATGATGTGGATCTTGTGCAAGCTAAAATCAAATTCTATTCCCAACAAGTGTAATTCCTCACCTGAAGCTTAAATATTTAACAAATATATTAAATAAAAATAATTTGACTTTTTCTTAATGCTGCATAATCAAATGCATTCATTATATCTCAACAAGATGTGAGAAATTATAGTTTCAGAAGGAGAGTTTCAAGAAAATAATGCAAAGTGTGTTTTGTAATCAGTTAAGCAGCCAAACTGAGTCTCCCTTAGGATATGAACCAGAAATACGAGGGAGTCTCACAAAATATCCTCGTCGAGAACCACTGATGGGAAAAGGTTCAGAAATTTGATATAAAGAGTCAAAATGTCTCAAGATGAAACGTATGTGGCTGTGCATTATCACTATAGATCTGAGATGATCCCATTTACTATTAACATTTAGTGCTCCAGTGGACCAGGTACAATAGACTTGTGCAACATTTTTCGATTTTTGATCCATTGATAAACATTGAATTTTTGACAGACCACAAATTTTGGAAAAATCATCACAGCAATAACAACAACATGCAGTTATATAGCACCCTTCACGTGGAGAGCGCTTAAAATTGGGGGAAGGTGCCGAAACACTGATTGTCCAGCACCTTGGGACATCCTCTTGACATGAAAGGTGTTATACAAATGTAATTTCGTTGTTGTTGAAAAAGTGTATAGGCTAACCTCTAGCTCTCTGAAACCCGAATTGATGCAAACAAATATTTGTTCTTTAGTTTTGCTTTTCAGTGTTTTTTTTCCATTTCTCACTAAGTGCATAAAAGTGTATTACGAACTGATGGCCTAAAGCTTTTATGCACTGTATATGCTGTGACGTGCTGAGACTTGGCATTAATCCAGTGTTGCTGGGTTTTTATGATCTCATAAAAAGCCAAGTGATGTTTTGAGCAAATGGTAAATTGTGCATTTCATACAACACATCTTAATGACACATCAGCTGTTAATTACCAAAAGCTTCCTATTATTTGCTCCAGAAAACAAAATCTATGAGCACCGGTAAGAGCACAAGAAAGCACGGCCCAAGATTAGGTCATTCAGCCCTTCAGACCCATTGCTTTCGCAAATCGCATAAAAGCTCTCTGCTACCCCTCACCATGTCAACGGAGCAACCCACAACAATGTACTTGCAATAACAACAACTTCTATTTATATGTCTCAACATCATGAGATACTTTAATGATGACGTCAATACATCCAGGCAGACTGGGGCTGTCACTCAGCCACTTGCTCTGACTTTTCATCATTAAGTCAAATGTCCTGCTTGTGAAAGTCCCGAGAGATTAGACTGAGAGGAAGGAAATAACATTTTATAACCCCAATGATCTCTGGAGGCTGACTTGCCTCAGGAGATAAGCTATTATTAATGCCAACACCGTGTTAGTCACTGGCCCTTGGCTCGAGGCAACTCTTGTGAAAACAGATTCCCCTAAATGAGCAGGAGAGAGATAAGAATCCAAAATCTCACGATTTGCATTCATACCTGTAACCACACAAACCAGGAACTTCCTTCTAAAATCCAAGCTGGGGATTTCCAATGGGGCGAGTAAATCTCCGGTTAGCTTGTGAAAATTCATCTTCTGCCTCTTTGAAAGTCTACTACAAACAAGAGTTTGCATTTATAAAGCACCCTTCACGCAGGATAGCGTCTTGTATCTTCTGTAACACATTGTCTATTTCTAAACCTTTTAGCAGTGATAGTGGAAGAAAATGTTTATTGTGCTAATGAATGTGGTCTTCACTGTACATGAATTGATCATGGCTCCTCACTTAAAGGCATCCTTTTGTGCTTGTTCGACATACGTGAGGGAGAAGGGAATAGAGGGGATAGGTAGGGGTGAAAGCTCACGTGGAGTATGAACATCGGAACAGACTAGTTGGGCTGAATGGCCTGTTTCATTCTCCCTAATTTGATGCGATGTTATTTTTATGAAATTCTTAATAGACAATCTCAAAACAAAGTTGCCGCAGGCCACCTTCTGAAATGTTATGCGCTGGGTACATGTGGAACAGAACAGGAAATTATTTGAAAAAGAAGATGCAGTTAATCCTGGTTTATGAAAACAGGAAACATTTTCACTTCTTTCTTGAACATCAATGGTGGGGCAGGTTATTCTGCCATTGTACCCCCATTCTCTGAAACTCCCTCCTGGAGTCCCTCCGACTCACCCTCTCCCTCCCCACTTTCACAGTCAACCTGAAGATTTACCTTTCTGACTGTGCTTTTGATCATCCTTCCCTCCCCTCCCTCTTCAGCTCCCACCTCTTGGCTCGGGTGCTCAGTCAGCAGTGTAAAGTACTCTGTGACATCTTCCCAAAGAGAAAAGTGCTATATCATTGTAAGCTGTATTCTACTGGTTAAGATTGATAAATGTACCGTTCCAGATGTAATAATAATAATCCTTGCATTTGATATAGTGCTTTTCATGTCTTCTAGATGTCTCAAAGTGCTTCACAGAATATACTGTAAAGTGAATTGACTGTATATTTTGTGGATGAACACGGCAGCCAATTGCGCACAGCAGTGTCCCACAAACAGTCGTGGATTGAGTGACCAAATTATTATTGTTTTGTTTCTTGAGGGATTATTATCAGGCGTGTGGAGTAAGGAAACTTGCCCAAGGTTTTGCCCTCTCGGGAATCGAACCCAGGTCTCGCTTGTGAGGCGAGTCCTCTAACCACTGAGCTACAGAACTCCTAATGTAACTAAGGTTACATGCTTAACTTGTGTGCAGTGAAGACCTTCTTTAATGGTACAATAAATCTTTTGCCCACAAATAGACAGCCAATTCACTTTACAGTATATTCTGTGAAGCACTTTGAGATATCTTGAAGAAATGATAAGGCGCTATATCAAATGCAAGTATGATTAGTTTCTACAAGCTACCCCCCACATATCTAAAAAAACAGGTGTATTAAACTGAAAATCCACATTGAGTTTCTGTAGACTTGCAGAGCCAGAAATTTAATCTGCACAAAATGAGGAAGACTTACCAACCACCCATCTATCCCAACGTAAATTTCCAGCAAGGATTTCAGAAGAAAATACAGGTTTGAGCAGCTACAACTGTGAATACAAACCCTGAGGGTTATGAATAATAAATAATCCTTGCATTTGATATAGAGCTTTGCACGTCTGCAGAACATCTCAAAGCACTTCACAAGATTCACTGTAAAAAGCAGCGACTTTTGTAAGTGAATGCAGCTGCTAATTTGTGCACAGTAATATCCCACAGCAATGAAATGAATGACTAATTTTATCTGGAGGATTGTTCACCAGGATATGGGAGAAGCTTCCCTTTTTTAGAGTTCCATGGAATTTAAACCTGCTTTAACAGGAAGACTGGACCTTGGTTCAACATCTCATCTTAGGGACATCATCTTTAATAAGGCAGAACTCACAACAACGACAACAAGATTCCATTTATAGAGCGCCTTTCACGTCGGGAGGACATCCCAAGGCGCTGGACATCCCAAGACTCTCCCACATTTCTGGTTCATATCCTAAGTTTTCCCCATTGGGGGTCTTGTGATCTGTGGCTAGATTCAGCATAGCTCTGATGCTCTCCATAGTCAAACAGCCTGCTGACATTCTGTATCTATAGATTATATCCAAACAGTGAGGTAGCCGAGGACACATGGAATCATTCCTCACCATGAGTCATTACTTTCAGGAGCAAATGTGATACACCTCGACAAAAGTCTTCAATGTGTCTTCAATTAAAAGGCCACCTACCAAGAGGAAACTACACAATACTACACTCCCATCCAAGAAAGGAGGTGTATCATAATTTTAATTGTGGGAGTGTACAAGTTACCTCAATTACCAAAAACGCCCTGTTATGTAAACTAAAGGCTATGGTTGTTAAATAGTGAAGGCATTCACTTAACATAGGGTTCATTTTTAATCTGTTTCAGATTTGTTAAGATTTCAAACTAAATCTGTTTCAAGTTAAAAAGATTTACAAAGAATAATAATAATCCTTGCATTTGATAAAGCGCCT